CGAACGCAGGAATTCGTTTTTGATATTTATTAAGTTTTATTGACCTATAGACCGCATTCAGCAGATTTTTGCGGTGAAGGATTTTTACTTACTTCGAACTTACTGTTCGATGACTGACATTTTTTAGAATTTTTATATTGAAAGAGCAAAACAGCTATTCTAGTTAATTATGTGACAAAGATTGGAATCTGTACATTGGCGTCATCTGAATCAGCTAACTTCTGACAGTTTGATTAGAAATGATTTCAATTTGTATCATATATTTTATTCTGAAACTTTATCTTCTTTCGACCGACTCCTTGATGTTGCGGATAAAAACCTTTGCCATCAAATTGTGACAGCGCCAAAACTTGCAATTTAATTTAATCTGTCCTGAAGCGTTACTCTGGAAAGATTCAAAATGTGGCGTGGCACCCCATTTTTTTTCACTTTTGCTTGGGGTGTTTTACGAAATTTACAATTTTGGACACCAACAATAGTTGAAATTAACTTTGAAACTTTCAACTAACAAAACCGAAAAAAGAATCATGACGGAATGTTGAGGAGTAAGTAGAATAGTGTAAATAAGGAGAATAAGTTCCTTTTCTGGCTTCATTTTTGAACGATTTTTACCTTTCCATTTTTGAGATCCATTAGAAAAAAATGAGACCCTGTTATTCTTTCGTTTTCATTCAATGAAGTGGTCTCAAGATCCATTTTTTATAATTTACAAAAAGCTCCAATTATCCAATTCAGTTTTTTTGTGAGATCGCACGAAGCAGTTATTTTGATCTAGTGGAACAGCTTAGAATTTACTTTGTAATATTCGTGTTTCAGTTTAATTAACCTCCTCAGAAATATTTGCGATTACGCGCTCGCATTATAAAATTTTCATAGTTTGTGCCTTGGACAACTAATGCTGAAAATAAAACGAATTTCAGAGAGAAAAATCGGAAATCGCATTCACTAAAACGGATATGAATTTTGAGCGGTTGATGCAAACTAGAATATTATTCGTTATTTTGAAAAACAATTTTCGACATTAGCACGTACAAATACATAATTCTAAAAAATGTCTTTCGATGTGCGGGTTCGGGAAAAATCCTCTCAGATCAACTACCAGGATCAAAATCTGTACGGAGGGATCATACGTTTTGTTCAAAATCTATTTTATTTGCAGAGACACACAGATTAACCATGATGTTCTTCACATCAAATCCAGCACTTATTCCAATTGATAACAAAGTATGAAATCTGAAAAACATTTTATTATTCCAGCGAATACATGTTCTCAATCCAAATCTATCTGCCCATAAGATTATAACATGAATGAAAGTTTCCGGATCAGCAATGTGATATTTCAATGTAATCCGTATAAGATTCACTGGCATCAGATAAATTCATCAGTTGGATCAAAGAGATTCTTTTATATTTTTTGTTCTTCTTAATCCTAATGTTTATCGCGAGAACAATGATACGTCATGTTATGAAATAGCTGTGAAGAGACATCATAGCTACTTACTGCACTTGAAGTAGAAATGTGCATAGGCTTCACCGATGAAATTTCTATATTTACTAAAACTCAATGAAATTAAGACAACGACGTTTCTAACAAAAGTAATCGGTACTAAATACAAACCTACGAAATACAAGCCTACTAAATACAAGTGTTAAACCAGATTGAATGTTGTATCTGAATTTAGAAAACTCTCAGCTATTGAATTTTTTCATAAAACGGTGAAAACCACTAACACAAGTTCAAGCTGTGCTGGTGATTATAGAACCATATATAGAAGGAAACGATCAAAGGCACATGTATAAAGTCTATTTTTGAAATCTGTGGTCAAAGCTTAATGTTAGTGGAGGATACAATAGAGATATCAGAGAACCAAAACCCTGAAATTTCTACCCGATGCCATGTCCGTCGTTATATTATAATAAACCAACTCGTGGAGCACTTGTGGTGTATGCAAGGCTACAACGTCATCAACATTGTGATTTTAATGAGTTGGATCTGATTCCATTCAACCGGAAAAGGGCATAGCACTATTACGTTTTTTTTTTCTGAAAAAATATTATGTAAAATATTGTAGCGATACTTTTCGTAAAGTTACTCAAAACATTCAAAACATCGAATCGCGCGTTTTGCTCTTTTTCTTGTTTTTTATTCAAACGTTCATTTTAACATATCGAGTGTCAAAATAACTGACGTGAAGTCTAGAACATTTACATCAAAGTTTCCGGATTAAAAATTTGATCTCTTACTGTACTCCGAATTAGCAAAACTGATATCAGACGATCTTATCAGTTGTATCAACCAGATTCTTGCGTTTGTCCCACATTCTCTATAATCCGACTGTCTGGCACAAGAACATAGAAGATTCATTCTGCAGAACTTGCAGCTGTTGAGAACGTTCCACTTCCAAGTCCGACACGCTCTGAAAACCGGAAACTGACATATCCATTTCAATATCCGAACTGCCAGGTTGAACCACGGGTAGTTTCCGGAGATTCAACTGAACGACTGAACCGGAAATAGGTCCGAAACTTTTGTTCTCCTCAAACCACGTGCAAACTCTTTTAAATTATAAGACAAAGCGCTTCACTGGGCTCCTCTCTTTCAGGCAAGTGCCAGGCACATTCAGGGCACGGCTGCGCCAGTGTATATATATTCCTCTCTTCAGAACACCTTATCTCTGTTCTCTTCTCGCGTGCTTACACGACTTCTCCTTTGGCTGCGCTTTTTTTGGACAAGCATGTTTTGCCACTGATTTCAAAAAATGCTGGAAGATCACCGAAAAAGGAGTTGGCTACAAAAAAATCATAAAAAAATAAAAGGGCCTGTGGGAGAATGAAAAGGTCACACAAAAAATATAATGGTCCCTAGAGGAAAAAAAACATATCTCTAACTTTGAATTTTGTGTCTTAGATCTCTCATTTAAAGTTAAAAACGATCAATGGGAGAATGTTGTAGATTATGTAAAAATCAATTGGATGGCAGATACCATCTGACAAATGTTGAACAAGAGAGGGTGAGAGGAGAGGAGATCTCATTTTTCAGAAACACCCAGTTGGCAAATAACTATTGCTTATTAGAAATTCCTACTGAGCACTAGAATTTTTTAGTAGTGTACAGTCCTCATACAATCTTTCAATTATCAGTTTGAGGTGGTTTGACGATCTATACATTTTTATGATCTACGCATTCAATGATAAGCCACTTGCACTTTCTGAATTATTCACCTGAAAATGTAATGGCTCCCTTAGCCTCAATCTCTAAGATCTTAATGTTTCATTGATCTTCCTGCCTATTTTGTCGCTTATGCCCCGCTGATTCTTGGTACATCACCGAGTTGCGCGTGCCCACGGGATTGAGATCATAAACTATACAATTTCTCTTATTTCTCTACCACCTCTTCGCATTCGACTTCTGCACCAAAGAGCTTTCCTTCCTCCACATCGCCCCGCCTCTTCCTCCTCTATCTTCCGCTCAAGAGAGACTCCGCCCATTTTTAGCCTCTTTTTAAGAACAGCGTTCTAAGCTCTACTCTGCATCACTTCGGAGTCAGCCCCACGCTTTCGAGAAGTCCTATCCACTTCTCCTCCTTCTCTCACCATGTTCTCCAGAACTGCAATTCTCGTCTCTGTCTTTGTCATCGCCACCTCGGGCTTCAGTGCCCGTCCATCATCCAAAAACACGGTCCAAGACGCCCATGAGCAGCTCACCAAGAAGATCCGGTGCTGAGAGCCAATTGAGGAGAACATTGCTGGAAACCAATTCTCTGGAGAACACCAACTGAGCGAGCCGATATATGAGCTCTGCTCCTACATGCCGGACCCAAAGGATTTCAACAAAGGATACGTCAACGGCGTCGACATGGATTCCGACGACTACACCAACGTCCTCCACTTCTTCCACATCACACACCCAAGACTTGCCATGCTCAATGTCTGTCTTCAAGAGGTGAGTTACAAAAATTCCCTTCAGAGAAAGATATCTTATTTTTTTCATTTTCAGGCTTACCAATTCCATGCCACCGGACGTCCATCCCAGACATCAATTCGCTGCTTGTGTAAGAGAGACGGTTGCAATCTGCCGAAGGGTTTAACTACGTTCCTGGACTTCAACAAGCTTCCAATGCCAGAGACATCGTTCTAAATGAATCTCGTTCATTGCCGTCATTTTCTTTATCCCTACCCCCCCCCCTCTCCCTTCCTCATCCCCGAAATTTTTTGGTTCAAGATAATGTTACACTACTCTTTTCCAAACATTCTTTTTCTGACACCGTGATACTAATAACTCGAATTGAATAAAGATAAGTTAACAGAAAATCTGGTTTTTTCATGGGAAGCTGGCTTAGATTATTTAGGAACACATTCAAAAGTTTCATTTTGTCGACAACGGAACCAGCCGCTGGAGTCACTTTGAAAGTGCAGAAATCTGAAAAAAAAATTTCGATACTTGTTCCTCTTGGTTCAACAACAAATGAAATTTCACATGAGATACTCCTGAAGTTTTTTAATTTTGAAAAATCTGAAGTTTCGGAAATTATCTAAAAAATCGCACCTGGGAAAAATATGAATGGAGAATTTTGATAGTTGCATAGAACATAAAATTCAGAACTTTAATATATAATCAAGAAATGGATGGTCCAGGTAAGTTTTTGAGAAATAGTGTCAACATTTTTGAAAATTATGTGGATTTGAAATATTGTTCTTCAAAATTTTTGAAAATTGCTAAACAAATCAGATGACATAGGCAACTTGCCTCACTCAATATGTATGGGTCTTTCCTTAGTCAGCCCATGAGACACCGTATTTGATTTCAACGAATATGCATCTATATTTATTTCGTTTTTATGAATGAGTTTTCTGTATGTTATATGCTTCGTTTTGCGGTAACCTATCTCTATTTCCTCGCATTTTAACCAATGTGTCGTGCACCCAGCGCCATCACTCTCGTTATACTATGCAATAATCAATGGGAATATGGATCGCCGTGTCACATTTACCAACAGTCATACAAACGCTTCTTGTCACTCTGCTTCCTCGGATGACCTGTGTCTCATAATCTTCCATTCTCTTTTTCCCTGCATACTAACCAGGAGGGAGAAACGCATCTCTCGATGGAGTCTTGCAACGAACAGTCTTGGGCTGCTCGCTTTCTCATCATTGCTTTCTCATCTTTTTGTGTCCTGTTTTCGGTGCTTTCTGCACATTAAAGTAACGTGTTTCTCGCATATCAGCAATATTTCAATTGGTATCTGCATCGAACCTATATCTCTCGCTGTACTGTAAATCGTAGAGAAATAGCCTTTTTTAATTTTCCAGAAATCGTCATTTTTCCCGACATCTCAACGATGGAAATTTTCGACCCTCCTCCGTTTGTGAAAATTTTCACCAGTTTTTTAAAGATAGCCATACTTTTCGTTCCACTCAGTGAGTTCAATCTACAAAAATTACTTTTAATAATGTTTATTACAAAGGAAATTCAACACTTGCGAACACAGAATTTGATTGAAGTTCAAGGAAAGATGAAAAATAGTCTATCGAAGAAATTCTAAAAATGTTAGAATTCGCTCGCCAGCTTCAGCAAAGTTGTAGCACTTTCCCTCTTTTGAAACGTCTGTTTTTGCACAGAAACGTGTATTTGGTACTGAAACTAATACATATAACCCCGCAAAGACTGGCGGGCGAATTCTGATAAATTCCAGAATTGTGCAGATAAGTTATTCTTACCCTATTCTGAAATTTTCATCAAAATATGTTTTTACAAGGTGTTTAAGGCCCCTTGTTAGTCATAAAAGTTTAAATAATGTAAAAACTTATTTAGTTCATCTGACCCGCTTCTCGATTCCAGATCTCATTGAACCACTTGCCGAAATCCCAGAAACCGCTCATTGCACAAATATCGATCAAGCTAGAGCAAACATAAAAAATATAAACTTTCTGGTAATGACAAAAACGTTATTTTCTGTTCTCAAACAGTTTTCTTTCAGGTGCCGCAAATATCATTTCTTTTGAAAATTGTTCTATGGAATCTATTTTCCTCTATGCTTGCTGATATGATGGTTCAAATGCGACGATTGACTAGAATCCAATTTTTGTTTCTTTACCATAGTTTGGCGTTGATAAGTTTCATTGCCTACATGTCGTCACAAGCCATATTATTTTATTATGGTGAGCAAACGATAGTGGAAATTATTCAAGTTGACGTTTTTTTTAGATACGAATCTCTTCTGGGATCTTCCCATTGATTGCAAGGAGATCATGCCCAAAGAGAACTCGAATTCGATATTTTATTTTTTCGTTTTCAAAATTATGCTATTTTTTTTCATTATGGCCATTTCCGACTTCTACCCTCTCAAAGACGGTAGTTTTGTCGCTGCTCTCGTTGTAGTTATTGTCTGGAAACTGGTTGGGAATAACATACGATTTGATTTACACAATGAAAAACTTTTCAGGACACAGCTCTTCTGGGTTTCCCGAACGAGAACCAAAGACCAAATAGTCCTCAAGAAGCAAATGAGGTAATACCACAGTGGTTTATTTTAAGTTTCAACAAAAACGGTTTTTAGTCTCCCGAGCGTTTGATTAATGGAATAAGAGAACGTCGTGTAAACAATAGTCAAGCAGCGAGACGTTGTGGAGCTAGAAGACGTGTTCAAACTCGAAATCAACAACGAGCTAGGAGAAATGGACCACCACCAGCATATGAGGAGGTGAACTTTATTCTAAATGCGCAGAACTTATAAAATGTATTTCCAGATCCAACAAGGAGCACACACCAATGTTCCAGAGCAATCATCACAAGAGCACTCTCCGATGGTAATGAATAAAGTCATAAGAATAAAATTAAATTAGAACTTCATAGGAACAAGAAGCGCCTCCAGCATATGAACAAGTTTCCCAAGATGGCGCGCCACCACCATATGAGGTAATACTTATTGCACCGAATCATTTATGAAACGTAATTTTTGGAGGTTGCGGACAACAACGTCATGGTCATTGGTATATGGTACCCACGAGACAACAATCAAAGAGAGGAAGCTGACAGAAACTAGAAAGCTATTTTCAGCATGTGCTTTTCATCTTTTTTGAATGCAGCTGTTCATTTTTGGTCAATTTCTATTTATCCACCCCCCCCCCCCCCACCACCTTTCTTTATTGCCCACACTTTTTCTAAAGATCTTTTAGTGGGGTTTTCTGCCACCAGAGTTGATTTGTGATCTTGTGATTTGAGAATATTTACCACTGCCCGTTTTTGTGTTTTCGTTGTTTCTGTTATATTAGTCCAGAACTTTTGTCTACCAGTTTTCGTAAGTTTTGATTGTGATAATTCTTTAGGGATATGGAAATGCTTTGTTTTATTGGTATTCGTAATAAATTCAATAAAAGTATTGGTTTTTAAAATTGGTTTTCAGGCAGGTAATTTTGATTAAATCAATCATGAAAAAAAAATTAAGGCTGGAGGTGTAACAAAGAGAATACCGTTGAAACATTCCACAATGTTTTAAAGATATAATTTATTGAAGATAAAATGTGATGCCGGGAACGGGGGTTTGAATTCGAAAATTTCTTAAAATTCTAAAAAAAATTCGGAATATTTCTGAAAGATATTGTCAGAAAAGAATACTAATCGGAGTATTTTTTTTTTCTTGGAATTAGAGCTTTTTGTGAATTTCCGAATCCCGAATTTTGAAATTTTGAATGAATTTTCGACATTCCAAACATCCCTGGATAAAAAATTGTTCGGCGCACTGGATTTGCAGCTTTTATATTGTCCGTTTCTTGTTTATCTAATTTTTGAATTGTACTTGTTGTCCTCTTCTTCTCACCATTTGCAACCATATCTTTTTCTCACCATATAAAAATGGTTGCACTACCACTATTGGGAATATCACAAATATTTGAAAGAGCAATCATTAGATCGCGTAAGAATATTCCCAACCATCACACATGTCAAAATTACTGTTCAGGTAGAGCGAAGGACCGATATGGGAATGTTTTATCCAATTCGTATCAATGGAGAAATAAGATGGGAGTGTTACATTTTCTAAATATCCTGTCAGTTAGGGTTCATGCACACGTGTATTGAAAAAAGCAACCTTTTCTTCATCATCCGCGTCTCTTTATTCCAAAAACGTCGGTGTTGCCAAGAGTACACATTAAAATAATGTTCCCTTCCTCTTCATCCAAAGCGAACTCTCTTCGCTAGCAGAAAATTGAGCGGTAATTCCTACTCTGCTTCCCCCACCCGATTTCCCTTTTTGGCACATCCCGTTTTTTTCTTCGGAAGATTTATTTTTATTTTTTTTTCGATGTTCTTGTTTTAGTGGTTATTGCTCTCCTGGTTTCAATAAATTGTAGTTGATTGTAAGATCCGATATTCTGTCTGGAATTTCCAGCCATTGGTGGTGTAAGAATTCAAATATTTCAAGACACCCAAATTGCTTCTGAACGCTGTCACAGGTACACTTTCGAATTTTAATGTGGGAACTACTTGCGGATAATTCTTTGTGGTTCATGCTTCCTTGTCGGCTTTTGCATTCATATCTTTGATAGAAAGATTGTACTAAATTAATTCAACGGCATCTGATTCTTTATACAATGCCCGTTTTTTCATCACCATGGTGGCTCTTGTTTTTTTTCTTCGATTCTCTCGTTTTCCTTTTATCTCGTCTTATCAGTATGCAAATGTATGTGCCTTCATCCATATACATACCGAACGCAATAGACCGATTCACGTCTGGGCGCCGGGACGTACATCATTCCCTTCGATCGAACAACCCCAGATATTTTACTGTTGTCCCCCACCTTGTGCGCGTACTCTTTTCTGCTCATTTCAAGACCACACGACACAAGCGGATACATAGAGTTGTTAGTACTAAAAAGGTATCATTTGGGTATCTTTCCTCGTTTAATAATGTCACGGACCTGTGTGCCCTTTAAATGCATGAAAATCTTTTTTAAATATTTCCCCATACATCTACCACCTGCCTTGCGTCCATCTTTCATCGCGCCCATTATGAGTACAAAATAAGCATTTATGACCTATTTTCGTTTGTATGAGTGAGCAAATTCTCGTCTCTCTTCTTTTTTCGAGCCTTTAAAAGGATTCATTGAGCTATTCATTTTCCCATTTTGCTCTCCCATCTTCTCTGGTAGTCGCTTCCTTTGTGTTTCTCAGTTCGTAAAGGTACAAGATGGAGAAAACGTTCCTCCAACGCCTACCGCACATTGTATCTTCTTTTGTGTGTATCTCGTTTACACCTACGATGTTTCATTTTTCTGAAAAAAATATTGATTTTTCAGGTATGGACTACCCGTTACCGTACAATCACTTGGTTGAGCTTATGCTTGGAACTTTTGTGGCAATTGGTAATTACATTCCACTAAGTGAGTACACTATAAAACTTTTTGTGTTTTATTGATTCAAAAACTACAAAAAGAGGAGGAGGATTAGTTATGTGTTAAAAGGATTGGTCAAAGATATCAAATTGATACTAGGTTATAACGGTCCAAGGTGTGCTCAGATGATCCTAGCCGCTTTTTTTACTGATTAGCAAGCCAACACTCATATCTTATTTTAGCTTTCATTGATAGCAATGTTAACATTCCCGCCGTTCTCAATTGCACCGCCAATGCCGAAATCGCTCGAGCCAAAATTATTGCTATAAGTGAATTGGTATCCACAAATGCAATGATTATTCTTGATCTCGGATTTTCAGAAGCCTGTAATTGGTTTTTATCAGTTCTGGATCATGTTCGCCTGCATTTCGACCATCCAGGTTTATTTCCTTGCCAAACAAAGGAGACTCAGAATGAGTGCATTCCAGTTTTGGTACTACTGGGGAGCTATAGGTTCCTTCTTCTATACCTTAGGATTGGCCATTGCCATTTGGAGAATAGGTATAAATACACAGAATCACCAAGGTTTATTTATAAGTTTCCTGTTCAGATGTCTATCCTTTATGTGATGCACTTGTAATGACAAGCTGTCCCAATCTTGCCAAACAATTCCATCAGAATCTCTGGTGTTTTGTGATTTTCAAAGCATTCTCCATCTTGTCAGTCTTGCACCTTAAATATCCATTTCGAATGGGGTTTGACATATGCACGCGGATTTCGGAGTTCATGATCAGTCGTCGTATTCATTTGGAAATATCAGAACTGCCTGATGGATTTCAAAGCTTGTTTTCTGATTTTCCGCCATTGCCTCCCCCTTTGCCACCAACGGTAAGTGACACAAAAAACCGAAAAGCATCATGTTCGAATCTCAAAAAGAGATTAAAACACATATAAAAATATTTACAGCCCATTGAGCCACCACCAGTGTACGACGAAGCGATATTGTTACCTTCAGGAAATCCACCAGAATACAAGGTATCAAAAATAGTTTTTTGAAAGAAATTACCAGTTTTCAGGAATTATATGAAGCTGCAGACACTTCAAATGAAGTCAATACTTCTCAAGAATCTCTCCCAGCTTATTCTCAATCCATGAACGATTTATCCAATAGACCACCAGCTTATGAGGTAGAATTAAAGAAAGATGCCTGATAAAATGCAAAACTGAGATTTCAGGAAGTCCAAGGAATGATCAGCGCAAGTCCGTCGGTTCGCCACCAAACGATTCAACGCGTTCGGCAAACATTATGTCAGCCATCCATCAACAGTCCATCCACTTCGAGACAATACTTTGGACATACGGATACGGACAGAGACTAGCCATTATTTTGAAATTAAAAGTTTTTCTGCTCTTTCCTGACCCTACCAACAATTATTTGTCGGCTACCACCGGCCAAAATGTTCTTATTCATTTGCGATCACAGATCTATTTCGTGCTCGTTCTAACATGCGGTTTACCTCATAATGTTCCACTTTAGTTTCTCATTTCTAAAATCCAATTTCCTTCTACTATTTTTTCTAATAAATGCAACTGTTAATTTTCAAATAAAAACTAGGCATTTTCAGATGTTTAGATTTTTTGAATTCGGCGGAACAGAAAACACTTTCTAATTTCTTAATTTTTCTTTTGAAGATAGAGCATGAGACATTTGTAGGGTTGGCTATGGGGCAAAATGGGACGATCCCCGCCCCCGCCCCCTTGCGCCTCGGGCGCTTGTAACTTTCAGGGTAACCTAGTTGAGTACCCTGAAGCGCAAAAAATAATTTGAAAATGAAGTTATTGTTTCATACAACAACCAATTTTTTCAACAGAGCGAATCCCAGACCCGTTTTCGGGGGCTCCAGAATGAAGCGGGGAGCCCTGTTGCCAACCCTAGACATTTGCAATATTCTTCTTATTTCTAAACACGACCTAATGAAACAATTGAATACACACAGAAAGGACACTGTGGACTATTCCCCAAGAATGGGTAGGTATGTTCTGCCGGCCCCTCGTTGTGTTTTTATGCTCGTTTCCCGCAGAAAAAATGACGACAGCTTCTTCTATTCGTGCTCCCTTCTCTCCGCCTGAAATGAATCGGTAGAAAAAATATGTGAGTAATGAGTAAGCAATTTATATACACACCGTATACATTTTTCTGCCCTGGACCCAATTTCCTTTTTTTGACAGGTTTCTCTTCCAGGTGATGAATGCTCCATGTTGGATAAAGAACTACATCTTCAGTCTTGAGATTTTTTTCAGATATTGCCGGAGAAGACTGAAAACTAATAGAATCTTGGGAATAGAGCGAAAAACACTATTCGATAATAGAAATGAAAATATTACTTCAGCTTGTGTGGTCTGAGGATTACAGTAACAGTCGTCTATTCTTAGGAATCAGAATAACCATTAAAGGATGCGAGACAGCAAAACGGATTTGAAATAAGTTATCGTATCGCGCTGCGCTTATGTAGGTAATCGGTCGGCGCCCGCGTAGCTAACGCGGCGCTGCACCCCTGAGCTGTTCATCATGAGTTCAATTCCTCATAGGTGCCACTAGGCCAAATATCAGGAAAACGTTTTTTTTTTAAAATGTCTGTCCTCCTTTCATTTTGTGAAGTATTTCATTGTTCAAACGATTATGGGCATACTTGTCAACAGGACAGTCTGATCAGTAATGGACATGGAGATTGAAAATGCAACAGAAAACGGGAAAATTTTTGAGTCCCCTAACCGAGGATAATCGGATTGATTCTTTCGGAGAATCACGAGTTTCGAAATTTCGGAAATTCAGTATATTCCGATTTTCAAAATTTTGAAATTTCCCGTCACAAAAGCGCGAAAAATTAGTGAAAAATTGAAACAAAGTTTTCGGAAACGTAAGAAGAATTTTATATAGAAAACAGTCGAATTTCAACTTTCGAAATTTCGAATTCCGTTTCAAATATCCCTGCCTCCTAACTATAATTTGGGCAACCTCTGTTCTCTTTTAAAAAATGATTTCTAACTGACATCTTTTCGTTCTACAAGCAGATCCCTGAAAAATGTTCACTAATGAGGAAGTCATTTGTAATCCTCTAGTATTCTCTTCTTGACAGTTCGGGCCTCCAAATGACAAATTAGGAGTACCGGGTAGTGCTCTCTCTTTTTCTGCCCTTGCTTTCCCTGTTTTTCGAGTAGTGGTTCAGTGACAAATCGGAAAATTATACTAGCGATTTCTTTTTTTACAGATAGACCGAATTCGCCAATCTCGACTTTTCTCTCTCAAAGCATTCTGATATCAAAAACACACTACAAAAAACAGCTGATATATAGTCCCACAGTGAGGGTGCCAAAATTTTGGGTCTGTTGAGGTACAAAACAATTTAGGGGTACAAAATGCAAATGAGGATACAGAATAGCGGAAGAATTCGAGTTTTGTACTTCCGAATCGTGGATTTTGCACCACTAAATTGCTTTGTACCCCGTTGTACCCCAGGAAAGACAGTGAGATTTCCAAAGGAGTTTTTGAAGATTTCACAATCATTTTTTACACAGATGCATGCAATATTATTCCATTATTAAATGAGTTTTTTTTTTTAAATTTAAAACTGCTGTTCGTTTTTATCGAAAATTATTCTGGGAATTCCACAGTTTGACAGAAGTTTGTTAAAAAACGTTCTTGCTCAAAAACTTGTTCAATTTCGGGAAAATTGATAAATTTTGATGAATTTTGAACATGAAGTCACCATATTGTTTATGAAAACGCTTCGAATGAAATGTAAGAAAAATAGGAGAGTCAAAGTAATAGGTGGAATACCTACAAACAATAAAGGGCTCGCTTTTCTAATAATGGCTTTACGGTAACAAAAAAACCAAAACTGACAGAGCTACAGATTTTTTTAAATTAGAGGACACATCAAGAGAGTAAAGCTCCGTGCAATTCTGAATCAAAAATGACACTAGGCGACCTGATTTAATATTTTCAACACTTTTCTCGCTCGCGTGCCATGAAAGAATGTGCACGCGGTCAATATCGTTTCCAAATACAATTATTTGTTCTTTTTGTTGTTTTTCATCAACACCTCTTCTTTTTCAACTATTTTATGGAAGGAACCGAATTTAGAACGGTAGCTCTGTTCACATAATCTAGACAACCGGAATCATGTTTTTTGTTCTGAAACTAAACTTTGACTATTTAAGTCATCCTTACCAATTTTCTAAAATAAAAAAATAGTGAAATGCATTTGAAGATACACAGTTACAAAACTTTTTTGCTGAAAACATGGTTTCACTGAATTTTTAAAAATTGGAAAAAAAGTCCTTTCAAATTGTGGTTTTCTTGCTCAATCTCACCCGTCTCGTTTCCAATTTTAATTTTAGCGCTTCAATAAAAATAATTCTGTTTCTACAATTTTCCAAGATTTTCACAAGATGGATAACGAAGAATACCACTCTTTCTGCTCTCGTTGCTACATCATTGTCCTCTCAGCGCTCACTGCCGTTTTGCGGCTCATCGGTGTGATAATGTTTTGTAAGTTAACAGGACCGTCAGGACTCTTCACAGAAAAAAAATGATGACTTAGGTGTGTGTTTACAGGTATTGATGAGATCTACTACCCACAAAACCGCTCTGAAGGAACTTATCCAGTTACAATCTATTTACAGAACTTCAGAAAGCTTGAGAGACAGGTATATCCAATGTTTCTCAAAGTTTCTTATTCAAACAATGTTCAGGGGACGACTGCCATGGTGCTCAATAGCCTTGCGTTGTCGACTAACACATTCAGCTTCCTATTGGTCTTTTTGGTGGATTGTAAAAAATTGGAAAGTTTTAGTGCCTCGGTTATGAACTTTGTCGTTGTTATTCTAAATGCGATTGTTCACTTGATGGCAATCCAACTCATCGCACAGAACAGCGGTAACGAATTCGTAGCATCAGTGCATTATTTTACCACAGCCTCTTTTACAGACGCCCTGGTGGAGGCCATGCGTTTTCTCCAAATTCCGAATTCCGAGCAATTTAGTAGTAGCTGGGTGACCCGTATTAGCATCAATACCTTCTTATTTCTGATGCTGTTTCTCATTGACATCATCTGCTTACTGGTGATCTTTGTCGCGTCTCTGAGCTGGATGTGTTCTAATTGTGATGCTAGAGTGGCGCCACGTGAGGCTCCGATCCGTTATGTAGATTATACACCAGTAAAACCAGTAGGTAACCAGTAAAAGTACATGTTCATCAAATGTTTTTCCAGGAGGTTGAAGTTCAACTCGAAGTGTATGCCAACAATCTGACAAGAGTTTTGGAATCAACAGAATACTGCCGTTATCTACAAGATGAACTAGAAGTAAGTCTGAGAAGATCATCAGTTCATAGTACGTACTATGTTTTCAGTATGCTCGAGACAATGGGGTTGAACTGATTAATATGGAAGTAGTGAGAGAGTTTATTGAAATGGAGAGTATATATTCAACTCCACATGAACTTTCTCTCCCAACTGATTCCTCTTCTTCGACGGACCGTACTTCTCGTTCGATCACCCCAATTGATGAAGTTTTTGAAACCCTCAAGGCTTACAGTGTAGAGTCAATTCCAAGTAGCAGCGATTACACAGATTCGGACGACAATGAAGATGTAAATTTTTTATAACTAGCTAGGGTTGCACATTCCGTAGTTTCAGACTGTCAGCACACAAACTGAGTCTATCCAAATGAATCTACTCGCACATGCCGCGGTAGTTCATGCGGAAGAGTATGTACGATATGTGTACGCTCGTTCTGAAGCACTTGGATTACCCTACGAGGTGAGAGCGGGTGGTGAACAGTTGAATACTAGTTCTTGTTTCAGAGAGCTGAACACGAACTTGAACAATTGTCAGCAGTAGAAGAAGAAGACGAGGAAGAGGAAGAACTGGAACCACAAAAATGACCAGCTACAACCACGGAATAAGTTCTCTTCCAATTTTTTTTAGTATTCGTTATGTGTTTGCCGTTTATGTATGTATATCCGATTTCGTTTCATTGTTTCGCCCAAAAATCAGCTCTTCACAGTGTATCCTTCAAAATTAGTCAATATCAAAAAAAAATTTTCATTTTCAGCCGAAACAGTGAAAAATTATGAAACCCGCAGAAAAATTGCCAGCGATATTCGACTGTTTCTGAATTCGCATCTAAAATAATTAATGCTTCTCCCAGTACTCGAGCTTTCTTGCTAGCAAAATATAAGATATATGATCATTATACATTACCAGTAAAAAATTATTATGCAAGCCACCAGTCCGCAAAATAGCCAGTAGCTGATCGGTATCTCTTAGCTCTGTAGTTTTCAAGCTGTTTAACAACGATGTTTATCTCTGAATTATCATTGTACGACTTTTTCTTTTCTCCATAATGCCAAGAAACTTTTTCCCCAATGTTTCTGTTTTAATTTTCAATTTCAACTTTTCTTGAATGAAAAATTTTTTTGTATTACAATTTTATCATATTTATTAGTTTTTCTCTAGGGTTTGTTACCCTGAAATATTTTTTTCTCATTTTTTACCAGCTTTTATCAACAATTATTCTGAAGATGGATGATAGAAGTCGCAACAGAACGCTCTTGATTATATTAGGTTGACAGGAAAGTAACTGTCCCTTGTTTTAATTGTGAATAATACAAAAACCAGGTTAAGCCAAGATTAGCAGTATGCACCGTCGTGACCCATAGCATGTTGGCAACATTCAGGTATCTTGTGGATATCCCACCTCCAAAAGCGAGCTAGCCGCAGATCAAAGAATTCTTTTTTTTAGTTTTTTCTCACAAATGGTGCAAAATTCATAATCCTCTAGATGACTTCGCATATCTCCGAATAACCTTTAATTTGATAGAGTCAAGTCGGGACTATAACTAGGTGAGGGAGAACCGTATCGCTGAAGCGGCTCAGGTCTGACTTGCCTGTCGTTAAAAAATGAAAAAAACCGCATGTTCACGGAAAGTCACGTCGTTCCTCAGCCGCTTTGGCTGGACGGTTCTCCTTTACCCCTGTGAAAGTTCTGATTTTGTTTTATCTGATTATTGGTTATTCAAAGATATACGACTTCATCTGGAGCGTAAGGACTTTAACATTATCGATGAGAAAAAAATGTGCTACAGTAATACTTTGATTCGCGCCCAGCCGGCTTTTGGAGGGATGGTATCCACGAGTTACCTAAATGTTGACAACATGTTGTGGATCACGACAGTACATACTGTCAATCTTGGATTAATCTTATTTTTGTTTCATTTACTAATGAAAAAATGGACAGTTACTTTCCTGCCAACCTAATACTACAAATCTCTCTCAGCATTAGTAGCATTTTTGCCTGAGTAAATATTTTTTTCAAAATTCGCTTCAAGTTGCAGCTCTTCATAATTATTTGGATTTGTCTAAATTCTATGAAGTACGACCCCGACTTCGTCCCCCCATACAACTGCACAAATGCTCCACAATTTCCTGAACTGTTCATAACTATGGCCATATTGGTGCGAACAATGACTTCGAAATCGAATATAACGTTTTTATTTTCAGAGAATGAAACTTTAAACTTTGACAATCATGTCGTCAAAATCAGCAAATTTTAGAGCGAAACTTCTTTTCCAGCAAGGAAGAATCAGAGAGATGGATTCTGGACTTTGTGAACTACTTGTCTACTCTCTACAATTTGTACCAACTTATTCATACTATCTACAAGTACATTTTCTATTTTGGTAAGACGAACAACAACCGAACTTGGAATCTTGGGAATTCCGCAAATTTATGAAATTTTAGAACTGAGAGTAGGACCGGAATATTTCCAGCAAAAAAATTCAGAATGAATACTCCAAAATTACAAATATACATTTCTTAAAGGTTTTCATTGATGGAGTACTGATTACAAGTTTTCAGATTCAGTTGCATTCCCCTTCCGACTCATCTTCGAGAATTTCCTCACGAAATGCCGCGATATGCCCCAGTCTGTGGCTATCGATTTGCTGATGATGGTAGTTGTTATCATGCTTTTTGTGTAAAGTCGGTGCAATTTGTTATGCATACAAACAATCGGACCGTCTAGAAACTCTAATTCGTCGCAGCAAGTGAGAAGAGCGCCCAGCCAGACACATACGTCGTCGACGGTGAGGTGAGGTTTGGGATCACCAGTTGCGTCCTTAATCAGTAGTAGAGGCGCATAGAGGGGGAGATGTAACTTTTGAAGTTCGAAGTATTTCAGTTGAAAATTCGTCAACCACTCTAACTACTGAAGTCAATCCACACAAAAATTAGACCGCGTGTCATTCCCTATTTTTTTATTAGCCTGCCTCTTTTTTCAATCAGCAATGGTCCTGCTACTGACAAAATTTTGATGTCATCTTAAAAACAACTATAACTCTCTCAAGTTCACCAGCCCTATCCCAAAAAAACAACCAAAACTTAACTGTAAGATAATGATCAATTCGCAAATTCCTCAAATGTGCTTTCCTATATAACAACTCGAAAGTAATATCTTATTGATTTGCATGTCGAAAAAACTTTTATGTCTCCAGCCAACTCATCCGTGCTGTTCTTGGTTAACTTTCCCAAACACTGATGTTCTCAGTGGTTTTCGTTTATCACAAAAAAAGAACCTAATCGAATTTCAAACTTTGGTTTCAACGAGAATCATCATGGATACCGTACCAAATGGAGACATCGATTTGCGGACGCTTCAATTGATGATCTCTCCACTTTTGAAGCTATCGTGATTTTTGAGCGGCGCGCTCTGCCGCGGCAGAGGTTAATGATTCGTGCACTGATTCTAGCATAGATCACTTTTTCAGTTTCCTGCAACACAAACGAAGATGTTTCTGCCACACGGACATGCACTCGATTTCCGGATCACAATATAAGAAGGAGCGATTTTCAAAATTTTCAATTTTCATCCCAAATCACTTCGATTTCCAAAATTTCTGTGAAGTTTCAGTAAAATCACGTGAATTTCCAAAATCCCTGAACTCGAACCGTTCGAGTTCTGTGAAAAATCCCAGAAATTTCAACGTTCAATTTCTGTGAATCACGTAAAATTTCCAAATTCCCAGAAATTTTGGAAATCGAAGTGATTTGGGATGAAAATTGAAAATTTTGAAAATCGTTCCTTCTTATATGCTTAAATTTGTGTCAGATTTTCAAAGGAAAACAGGTACGTTGGTGGTAAGTTTATTTATAAACGGTGCTGGTCAGTTTTTCTTGTATTCGAAACATCAGTTTTCATAAACCCTCAAATCCGATCTAGAATTAGTTTGAAATTCATTAGATCTTTATCAAATTTTATATAAAAATTACTTTACCGAAAACCAATTATTTTCAAAATTAATTAATATGGTCCCCAATGAACGTAATTAAAAAATGATACTCTAGTAATTTTCAGTCTGTATTAACAAAGTCAAACTATTCATTGCTACAGTTCTACAAAAAGTCAACATTTCCTTTTATTTTCCTTTTATTTTTATTCACTTTTCAAATGTCAGGTAATGACTGCGAGAGGAATGAAAACCTACTTAACTTGTGGGAAAGGTCTTCACAGTGAGGACCTTATCGCCTCCAATTATCTTCACTTTCTTCTCCTTCCATGACACCGATTATCTTCTTTTCGAATTTTCTGGTTCCCTATCCTTATGTGCTCCAATTATTTATCGGGGGTAAAAGAAGCTCTTTTCCTTTCATACATTCTATGCCTTCCTCAGGTTTGATGTAACCTGTAATTTCATTTTTCCTGCTTCCTAAACCATTTTAGTAATGTGTACTTCACAATTTCTTCCTGGTCCCAAACAGGCATGTTCATTAGCTCCTCCCACTTTTTCCATTTTGTCATTTTCTTTCCTCGAACATCGTATTTTCCTATTTTTGTCTTTATTTTGTCTTCTTTGCCTTTACCTTTTTCCCATGACCACTCGATTCAAATTACAAAATAAAAAATCATTCCAGCGACATGGATCTTGTCATGGTTTCACGAGTCCGTAATCGGTGGATTTTCTTCGTCATCTTTGTGGTCCTTCATCGCTCCCTCAGTGTCTCAATGATGCGTAAGTTTACATTCCCCAGCAAATTTCTCATTTGTCTGAGATTCTCCGAATGTCATGAAACTGCCAAACTCAATGAAGAATTCAAATTTTCAAACATACCTACTCAGACAATGATTGTTAGATGTCTGTAATTTTCAAAGTTGCTATATTCATGCTGCTAATTTGAAACTTTTCGTTGAACATTTTGACATCTAGACTTGTTTAATTAGTTTTTGAACCCAATATTTCCAATTTTCACTCATTTTTCGTTTTGGAACGGGTGGACATTCCAAAATTGAAAACTTTTAAATATCAATTATTCCACAAAATTGAGAGGTTTAGGTTCTACCTCTCTTGACACTGCCAAGTATTCCAACTACACTTGCACGGAAATCAACAATTTCGGAACAGACATTTCATCGGCTATTGGAGTGGTAAATTCGTCCTCATTAAACAATTTCATCATCTTTCTATTTTCAGATCAGATACCTATACATCATCAACACCATCATATTCAGTTTCAAGATCGTTTTGTGCGGCAGTATTCTTCTCTTTTACTTCGGACTCATGCCAGAAGCCGATCTTCTCTCGTCGGCCTCATTTTGCAACATTTACGCATTGATGTCATCTTTGTCCGCAATCTTGAGACTCATCTGGAACTACAGTATGTTCCGTCAAGAAATTTTAATTCAGTTATTTTGAAATTTCAGAGGGACTTTCTGTGATTATGACGTTTCTCACAGAAAAGGACCCAAAATTTTGCAAAGATATGCCTTCCTGGATGGCGTCCAATTTGACTAAAATGGCTTATTCTGTCGTTCTCTTGATTGTTGAATTTGGATTGCTCCTCAGAGAACAAGAGGCGATGGCTGATTACCTCAAGCATTGGACCGACGTCCGTAATGTCCGGAGACAAGAGGAGAACACGCCAAATGAAAATTGGTATGTTATTTGTAACTTTTAAAGGAGTGGATAGAGAAGATATTTCTGAAAGTGTGTTTTTTTGGGCCAACTGTTTGATTTTTTCGATAGAGGAGCGCCTGAAAGTACCTGAAAACAATAGAAAGGTATCCTCTTTTATAACAGGTTTTATGATATACGCTCTTACAAAACACAAAACATACCAATTGAAATTTCATTTCAATTCATCAAATTCATTAGTTTGTTTTCACCTACATCAATTTCAAAAGTGTGTCGCTGAGCTTCTACTTTTAGATCCCGATGTCTGCCCAACTCCTGCCCATCCGTCAACGATCGTCACTTTTCCATCTGCCACTTCACATAAAGCAAATTCACTTTGCCCAACTCCGATTTTGTTCCTCTGAATGTTCCCTTTTTCCCAGAACGTCATCTCCTCATTTTTCACTCTTACCTTCATATTGGATTTTGGTCAAAATTAGTAATTTTTCGTTTCAAATGCTGTGCAAGGGCCCATTTCTGTGCAAAGGCCCGCGTTCTCGCAAATGTCTCCATTCTTTAAAAACTTTCTCAATTCCCTTATCTCCATTTACCAACTATGAACTGTAGTTTTCAAATTTCATTCTTGTCTTTTCATCCATGTTCTTGATTTTCAAGTATTCAATAATCTGCATTGTTTGTCTTTATAGCCAAAAACAAACGGAGGTTGATATCTCCTGTTTACTGGGTTATTTCACCCTGAAATACCTTTATCTCAAAATTTATTCCTTAATATTCCAGTTTTTTAGTAATGGACGGGGAACGCCTTTCGAGACAATTTCGGAAGGTGTTGCTGACATTGTTTTTGGTGATTGTGGTAATCAAAACGATGAACTTATCGACATTGAGTGAGTTTTTAGTGTACTGTGAAACCTGTGATATGAGAGACTCGGTTCTTATGACGAAGTGCACTTTGATTGGAAAAGTTCAGAAAAACCCAAACAATTAAGGCAAAGTTGAGGGTTGGAAGAGGGCGGGAGCTCTTCTATTACAGGTTTTACAGGAATAGAAATCATGAAACAAATTTAGTGGCAATCCGAGCAACTCCTCAAGCTTTTACGAACATGACCTGCGAGGAGTATCCAAATTTCTATCCCGGAATGATTGAGATTCTCAGAGGAGGAAGAAAACGCGTTCATGTTGCGCAAAAGAATGTTACGAATTTGTAGAGGCTTCATGTCTTTCTCATGGAGTTCGGATCATTCTTTTTTTCAGAGAACGACGATGCAATTGAAGAGGTAGCTAAAAATTCCTACTTCGTTAGCTGTGATTCTATTTCCAGACATCCAAGAGTTTTTTGTTCCATGACGTGTTTCACTGCAAATCTTATGGCACGGATCCATCTATTCGCTTCGAAAATGACGAGTCTAGTGAAATGAAGCCACCCGTCATGTTGGATTTGAATATGGTAGGTCGAAAAGTGACATGTATTTTGATTAACTGAAAATTGCAGTTTTTAATGAATATTCCAAGAAACAACAACATTCAAGTGGGTGGCGAAATTTTAAGAGAGGATGAATCGCTATCCAGAAACGACATGGAATTGAATCGCGACAACGAATAACGTTTTTTGATAACTAATGATTTCTGTATTCTAATGATTTCTGTAATCATTTAATGATTGTTTTCAGCTTTGAAGTCTACTTTTGATTATACGTCACCCTACAAAATCGAGTATAACTCACCCAGTTTTTAGTTCCGTCTTCTAACGGGTAGAATCTGTACTTAATTTTTTTTTCTTTATTTGCTGATCTCCTAATAGCCTAGCTAATCTGATCTCACCTTTCTCTTAGATGACCCTCTTCCTCTCTAAAAATGGACCCTCACTAAGTTTCTAGTTTGAAATCTAACTAATTTTCTATATATTTATGACGTTCAGACTCCCACACTTCTATTTATAGTCAGGTTTGATTGATCTCTTCCAAATACAATTTAAAATGAATAATTGGCGCCAAAATCAATTCAAACTGCCAGCCCAAAAACAAAAACTTTTAACAGGAATTCATTCGAATTAAAATAAAAGGCAATTAGTGCTTGACAACGAGGATCGACAAATCGTCGGTTTGCTCATCAGTGACAGCGCTGTACTTCGTGAGCTTGAACTTGTCGTCGTTGTAGTACAATGGAACAGTGACGATCATGAAGTGGAACGTGACAAAGTCGACGACCAGCAGAATGAAGCGAAAGTGCATGAGCAAGACAGAATCCAGGCTTCCAGAGAACAACGGGCAATCGTAGTGGTCCGGGTTGACAAGGAGAAGCGTGTAGTAATCTGAAATGGTTACATATTGTCTAGGAGTCTTTGGCAATGATTAGTGTCACCTCCGCCGATTTTGGTGAACTCCAAAGTCTGCATGGCTAAGAAAATGAAGCGGATAGGGAAGACGAATCCACAGAAGAATGCGAAGGTGCTGAAGAACAGATTCACATATCTGCATCCGACGATCCTGGTGGCAAGGAGGAAGTTGATGAGAAGGGCGCAAGTGCTGATTGGGAAGGTGTAGTAGGCGTCGACGTTTCCAAAATCCGATCCAAGTGCAGTGCCGTTGATGATGCAAGTTGGATATCCACTGCATCCATCTCCGAGACAACCAACGTCCAGTTCAGGATAGTTGTACATCATAGCTAAAAACGCTTTTGTTAAATGAGGGTTTAATTAATTTTATTTTGCCTTTCACAAATGGGAAAGATCCAACAGTGGTCAGACTCAAAATGGCAGCAAGAACCATTGCCCACCAGATCGAACGGATGATGATGGCTCTCCCGATTTTGATGTACTGCATTGTAAGCAGCAACAGGTCCATTACGATTGTTCTAGAAACTATAGTTACCGTATTTCCTCTAGTTGAAACCCGCCGAAGCTGTCAATTTTGAGCTTCATTATTTCGATTTCTGGGAAAAATCTCGAAAATTGTCAGCAGATAAATTGTTTGCCATAATATCACCAATATTTTATCAGTTGACAATTTCATGATATCTTTCTCGGGAATCGAGATGATTGAGCGCAAAGTTGACAGTTTCGTTGGGCTTCCATCAGAGGAGGTGAGGTATTAATTTCAAAAGTTATGAAATATAGTGAGCTACAGTAGGTGTTTTGCAAAAATAGTATGGGTTTGTAACTAAAATCTGAGGAGCCTTCTTCAAAAAAAAAAAGAAAGTGAAAAAGAAATAAAGCCAAAGTGGATGGGACGTTTCGGTTGCTACTGACGAGTACGCCGAAACAGAGAAAAAGTGAACATTTGGAAATTGGGAGGAGTATTCCAAAGTGACTCCACGAAAAGAAAAGAGTGAAGGGGATTGAAAAGAAAGCAATTGATGGCAGATTTACGACCGTTTTTCCATTTCTGAATTCGAGGAAGTGCTCTCAATCGTGCAAAAATGGAAAAAGAAAAAGGACCGGCTATAATTTCTGAGAAATCTATTTGGCATTTTATGGAGAGGGCTCTATTTCGGCTACGGTTTTTTTTTCGACTTGCCCTTGGAAATGGCAAAAAAAATAGGAAGCGAAGAAGAAAAAGAATAAAACGAAGGAAACAGCTTGATTTATTGCTCTGTACCAGAAAAGAGAATAAGGACTTGATTATAAGAGGGACTATAGGAAATAATGGCTTTACGAAAAAAAATGAACAGAAAATCGAAAAGCACATGAGCAGGGGATAAATTCAATATGTTGAAAAGGGCTCTTGGGAGTTGAGGTAATTACTAGTTTGCATGTATATAGCCATGGTGACACGAAAACATGGAGAAACAAATAATAAGACACATGTGACAAGAAACAAAACGATCTGTTTTTTTTTTCTAGAAATATCTAGAACCTGATATTATTAGTAGGTTCCAACCCACGCTTAGAAGTTTGTGTGTTAATAAAAGTAATGTCGATGTCTGCATCAGGACTATATAGCGTAAGAGAGAACTCCTCAGCCCTGCTCTTTGATTTTCTGCGATGCGATCTTTGCAGCATGCGGTCGGGCGTTGTCATGGACCAATTTTGCAGACTTGTGTAGAGGGACAGCTGCCGTAACTGTCTCGTCGGTTCTTTTTGCCCATTGAGCGCAAGTGATTCACAATTGTGCCCTGAAAGCATCCAAACTGCTGAGCAAGTTGGCGAGTCGTTCAACGCGGGTCCGGCTCAATGGTTTGCTTTAGAACAGCTTGATCGACAATTTGATGGGGAAATCGAATCTCGTTGTTCTCAAAGCGTTCATCGCTGTTTTTTAATCGATTAAACTATTCATAGACCTGTGTATAAAATAGTCCTTTGTCACCAAAAACATTCGACAGCTTGAAGTTATAAACAAACAAAATAGTGTTCGGAGTCAAATAGGCCAACCTAATAGTTGAAAAATGAATGCACCAATAGAATTGGACACGATTTTTGTGGATATCATGTAGCCATGAGCTTGGAAAATAACTTCGAGATTGAGGGAAATTATTATAGTTGGAAAACGCATGATGCCGATTTTCACATTTTAAGGATTTGATCCTATAATTGGTGAGAATATTTGTCAAACCTGCACGAGGAAACGCTACTCATTAAATTCAATTTTCAGCCAGAAAGGTCAGGTTTCTCAGATTTTTTTACGACATTTCTATCAGAGATGTTTGAAATCGTAAGATGAATATTAGGTTGGCAACTAATTCCTTGTGCACTTTTGTTTTCCTCTTTTCTCATAACTGAGCTGGAACCATAACCTGTGTGTAACATAATATGGTATATAAGGTGGTAAGGATGTTCCCAATAACCATCATTTACTCTGCTCCCATTCAGCTTACGGACGCAATGCCCCGATACATACCCGATGCTCACTTCAATCGTAATGCTATATTATTTCTAGTTATTTCTAACCTGAAATAATCCGATATTCATCACCGACCGGAGGAAACTGACAAGACAATGCCCCTATAGAAACACCGTTGCAAATTGGGTTGGAAAGTTCAAGAACCAGTACTTCTCAATGAAAAATGACATTCGTCCCTGGCGACCAGTTCTTTGAAATATAGGCGAACTGAGATCTAGTCGAACGGGACCGTTACTAATCTACCCGTGAAATGTCAATCACTTTAGGGGCAACTCATATCACAATTGAAAATTGACCGTTAAAGTTGGGAAAGACAAAAAAACTTGGACGGCGGATATCTCACCGTTTTACCGGTTTTGATGTTCAGCAGCGGGTGGACATGAGCATACAACTTCTTACTCTACTTGGGAACTTCAAGCGGCTGAATTATATTATCACCTTTGATAAGAAGAGTGTCATATATACTAACCATCGCAGAAAAGCCCAACGGATTAACTTCAAAATACAGCCAGAAGACGTCGTCAAACAGGAATTTTATCCAAAAACAGTGGGTATGAAAAGATGCATCGTGTTCGCGTGCGGAATGAGAGCATAGCAAATGCTGGTTATTGTGAACAACCTTATCATCTTATATACCATATTGTGTTACACAGATGTTATGGATCTAACTTAGTGAAGAAAAGATGAAAAACAATAGTGCACAAGGAATTTGTTGCCAACCTAATAAATGAATAAACACCGGGATTATGTTTTGTTGTTTTGGAAAATAAAGTCCGGAATGAAACCATTTCCCCCAATACTGAATAACGGCTCGAATTCCGAATTCCGGACATCTGAGATGGGAAGAGTATGGCATTAAACAAAAACCGAACCATTTCTAGGAGCTGCGACAATTACAGAGCATTATTTTTTTCGTGTACTTTACTGAACAAGAACATTTTCGAAACAGTCGAAAATTTGAAGGCATACTAGTAAACGATCCACCAGCTGACAAACAAAAACGGTCTTCTAATGTCAAGTTTGTTGTCCCACATGAAGTACGAGACTGATCCAATGCAATTTTAGAGTCCATTAATTAATTGAATAAAAATTGGTTTCACTGCTAAATCTCCCATATCTGCTAAAAAAGGGCTGTTAAACTACGTATAACCAAATTTATCTCAGTTCTGTAAAGTACCGTATTCCCTCTAATAACGCTATCTATTCCGTCAACTTTGAGCTCAATTATCTCAATTCCTGTAAGAGATAACAAAAAGTTGTCAATTAACAAATTATTTATCATAATTACACCAATATTTTATCACTGGACAGATTTTTGATACTGTTCACAGGAATCGAGATAAATACGCTTTTATTTCACGTTTTTTCACATAAACATCAGAACTATACAGCGGATCCATATTCTGCTGGAGAGATTCGATACTGATCCTGATTGTTAATATTTATTAGCACTGCTCAGAACATTATTGCTGAATGGCACATAATATGCAATGTAAATTGTCAGAACCTGGCACCTGTCATTTGGTCAAACTTTGGACCAGCTGGCCAACTGTCGGCATACTTCTAAGGATAATAATATACCATCTGTGACCAAACATTTTTTCTCATGTCAAGTTTGTTGGTTTTTCCAACGAAATGTGCATTTCAAACACACCCATATGATTCTGTGTAATTGTGCAATCCAAACCATTTTCTCCCATTTCCACACAGATTCTATTTTTCGATGAATGTTTTCAATCTGAAGCCATTTTTAAAAAGAAACCATGAATTTTATATTCCTCTTCGAACGATTTCGCCTCGCGCTGTTCATATTTTGGATTAAGTTTTCTTCCATTAGAAAGCAAGCAGTCCTATTGTTTTTGTCCGCCGTCTGTTTTTTTTAAATGTCAATTTTTTTCATATTTCATTTTGTCCTTTAGACAAAAAAATGAATCATATACGACCGAACGCTGAAAAAGTTTAGACCCTTTTATTTTCATATGTTCTTCTTCATAACTTTGTTCTTTATTATTTTCCGGATATACAGTGAACCCATTCGACAATTCTCATACTGGTTATCTTTTTTCTGGAATTCGGCGACTTGCTTACTGATTTATTTTTGTCTGAAAACGTATCGGCTGATACTATCAAATGTCGATCTTAATGGAACCTTGATGATGGAATGGAATTTTTTCTGTTAGATCGGTTGTCCAGATATGTTTTTGATTCATGTGACTTCTGAAAAGTGTTTGATCAAGATGTCATGTATAGCAGATACGTAACAGAAAAAAAAGAAGAAAGGAAAACCTAGTGAGTGAAAGAAAAAAAGAACATTTCTTCCCTTCCGATCGTTTTCTGTTCATTATAAAGTTAAGAATGTCAGAGAGCGAGAGAGTGTGAGAGTGAAAAGAAAGTTCTGAGTTGACTGACGGCAATTACACTGATAACAAACCAAAATTGTGAGTGTGTGTATTGAATCGACCCCTCTCACTCTCCCCAAACATGTTTTCTTTCTCACTCTGATCGTTTCCAATTTTTCCATGACTTTCATATTAATTACTTTAATGCACCTTTGATATCTTTCGATTTGCCGGTCATCATTCTAACAACCGTGATGCCCGATTAAGACTTGAGGCGGGAAGAGATAAAGAAGGTATTTTTTCTTATAAAAAGAAAAGAGATAGAGAACGACGTCCGAATGAGGTAGATGGACGGCAGTCGTCGTCTTCTTCACTTTCATCTTTTTTCTCAATCCGCTATCATTTTCTATCGTCCCGAGGTTCGTTTTTTTTCTCAAAGCAGTATTTTTTCTCCTAATTGCCGCACAATTTCTCTCATTCTCATTCTCGCCCGTTTCATTTCGCCTTAATTCGCCCTCTGTGGTCTAAATGTTTATTCATTTTCAGCTTGGCACCCATTCTGAAGCTATCAGAATGTTCAATGTTAAAACAATATCCCAACTTATTCTCATGTCCACCATATTCTCTTTAGTTCTTCTGATCAGCTTCAAATTTTTAGAAAGTAAGTTGAAGCATATTTCAAAAACTAAAACAGAGAAAAATTTAAGTCCAAACCCAATATCCACGGTCGAACTTCTGCCTGACATGCTACAGTTTTGAGGAAGGATTCGTGAGAGTTCTAGAAGTAAGTTAATGATTGCTGAACTCGTGTCTTTTTTATTATCCATTACCATGCCAAAAACATTACTAAATACTTTTTTTCCCCAAATTCTTTTGAACTTCATTGACCATGTTCTTACGGAACTATTTTTTTTCTGAAAAAAAACCTATCACATTGGTTCATTCCTGATTGGCATTTACAGAAAAAAAACATTAAAAGAGTCGGGTGGCGGCAGTGTTATCAGCATTCTATTCGGAATAATCAGATGAAGATAAAAATTTATAAAACATAATTTTCAGGTCCAATTGAACTTCAATCTCTTCCTTTTGGCAGACTTCTTGGTTATGCTCATGGTCGTTTTACTCTTCGGATTGTGAGCGTTGTTCGCTATATTCCCCTCTAAACCCTATATTTTTTTCAGGGAAAGATACTATGAACACGTGAACTTTTTGATTATTTGTCATATGATACGATTCATGTTGAACGGTGCCAACCTAGCTGTTTCGGACACTTTCGACCGGCTGCTTAAACCAATGATGAAAGAGCTATGCGGATTTGGCGGGAAATGCTCCGATGAGAAAATTCTACCACACACCACAGTTGGATTGTTATATCTAATATACTTTGCTATTATGGTTACCAACTTTTCTGTTTGTGTTCTATTGACCTATTTTTTCGTTCCTTATACCCAGTATCAACCAGCTCCTATCATTGTCCACATGAGCAGCCATTTCCGGAGGAGTCGCCCAATTAGAAAGTTCAGTTTCACCAATTCATTCCAAACTCCGCCACACTCCTCCAGCAAACGGTCCCCATCTCCACCAAAATTGGTAAACATTGTCTATCCTCCAGAAAAGCCATTAAAATATCATCGGCTTGAGTCTAATGACAAATTTATGTTCAGACATTCGAAGAACAAGGTGATGCCTCTTACCCTTCCCCAACCCCAACCAATGATTATGGCTTGATAATGTTAATAAGTACCTAATATATGGAACAAGTGCAAAAAAACCTCGGCTTGTATTGTGTTGGTACTCTTATATACGTGCTTCCTTGATAATAAATTGATTCGTATTGTTAGTTCGTTTCAATCATTGTTGCCATTCCAATCATACTGGTTAGTCACAAAAGGACAGACTTTTGTCCATTCCAGAACATTTTCAGAAAAAAATTTTGTCGCAAGCATGTTTTTTTCTGGCAGTGTTAGTTATAGGCATACTTGTCAGAGGCCGGGTCGAAAAGAAAACTTCTTAGACCCGGCTAAAAGAAAATCTTCTTCTGAAATTTCAAAATGTTGAATTGTTTTTCAAAATCCTCAAATGTTGAATTAAGTTTTTGAAAAATGTGAAGTTTCGTAACTTTTGTGACAATTTATCACACTTTTTTTGAATGGAATTTGATGAATTGTTTCTTGAAAACTTTTCAAAAACGCAGGGCCAACGGGCTTACCGGAACTTGACAAATATTTTTATAGCGAAAACTTGAAATTGTTTAAATAATTTCACAAAAAGTGATATTTCAAGAATATATTTTTTTGAGGTTTTTCTTAGGTCCCTATTTTTGCTCTCCGTGGGTGTGCTGTTTTTTGCCATTTTCGAATTCAAATTTAATTTAGCAAATGGCAACTACCGTATATCTCGATGTAATCCCAAGTAGATTTTTTTTTCAAATTCGTACATCTCCTTTTATTTCTCAACGGATATAACGGCTGAGTGTCGTCTAACATTTCAGCTACAGTATGCCTTTACGTAATCTCTAATGGAATCCAATCCACGGAGAATTTTACAGCCATCAAAAAAATCCATTCAGTGGTGATGAGTTCCAGTGTCATCTCTTCTTCCTTCACATCTTTACGAAATTGAAATTTTTTTTGTGCCGGAGTGTTACGACTTTAGTGCCCTTCACCGTCGTATGTTAACCTTTCAGGGTAGATTACAACAAAGTCCATTCAGTGATGAATCCTTTTTTTGAGGTAAGTCCCGCCCCCTTTTCATGGTTTTCTAGTTCCAAGAAGTTCTCGTTCTTTCTTCCGCTCCGAATTTTCTGATTTTTCTTTTCAAGTTTGGAACCTATATCTCCAGATTGTATACCAACCCAAAAAAGTAAGCACGCAAGAACCTAATAACCAGTTCCTTAGTATGTCGATTAGTTCTACCTAGGTTTCCCAATAGCCAGTCATTTCCAACTTACTCACCCTTTTCTCTTTTCCAACTTTCCTCTTTTCAGATGCCTCTTGACGAGCAACTCCATCGGATAACCGTGACATCGGTTATCAGTGTCAGCTCGTACATTGTGATGCGAGCACTTCAGATTTTCTCTGGACTCAAGTTCCCATCAACTGGACCTAATGAGCTCATGTTCTTCGACTCACTTCTTGCTGTTTCAGTAGGATGTGTCTCAACTTTGTGAGTGATGTTTCGGAAATATATTTAGATTGAGAATCCACAGTTTAGTAAAGAGAAGGCGCGGAGTTAATTTAATTCCAAAAATTGGTTAACAGACAAATGTTTTTTTGTGAAATTACCAATATTTCATTAGTTGACACATTTTCTATACCTTCCAAAGGAAACGAAATAATTGAGCTCAAAGTGCACGTATAGAATGATGTTTTATTTGATCATATACGGTATTCGAATACAGATTATAAAAAATGCGGTTTTGCGAAAAAATGGATTCCATTCGCTTTATCACTAATCCTTTTCAATTTTTCAGCCGCACTTTGAACTCTCACTGTGGTAAAATGGTCTGTTTTGTGTTCATCCGTATGGTGTTCCTTCTAGTCATCGGCATATGTCTCTATTACGACCCAACGCTCTGTGAGTTTTATTTGAAATATACTATCGAATAAATTAATTTTTTCAGTTGGCTCCGATGCCCCAGCTTTTGATTTCGCAATCTCCTGGATGTTGTTCTCCATCTACACCACCTCTTCCACTGCTTGTATCACTATCTGCTTTGTCGTCTTCTACACCGAGGAAATCTTTCAACGATTCTCGTGGAACTATTGTTCTGAGAGCTGCTGCCCAACGGAAGTCACTCAAGAAAACGATGAGCATCTTCCTGGTTACCACGATGTGGTTTCTCTCTGCTCCCTTCCACCGACCTACGCGCAAGCTATGGCCAGTCGCCCACCAGGTAGTTGAAGTTATTTTATGGAAAGTTCTGGATTTCTACATTCCAGAAATTGCAGGATACACCCCACTTTCTACTCCAACGGTCACAACTCCACTCTCTCCAGTTAATACAATCATCTCAATGACAAGCAGTGGTGGCGTTCGTTACAATCGGTACCAGGCAGATGCTGAGGAAACCATGTGTTGAATCTTAATGTTAATAATTTTTCGTTTCAATAATTTTAAGGGATTTTCTGTGAAAATACTTTTTTTTTCGAAGATTCAGGTCTTTAAAAAATTCTGAAATACCAAACATTTTTTTTTGATTTTTGCAAGACCTCTATTTTCCATTGTTCTAAAAAAAATCTTACACTCTCCTTGAAATAAGCTATCCTCAAAAACCGTCACCGTCCTTTCAATTGAACTTATTCCTCCTCTTCTCGTTTTTTATTCTAGAACGCTTAGATAGTTGTCATCTCCTACCGTTCTTTTTTTTGGCATTCATCTCTTCTCAATTCTCTTCCAACAAATTCCCTCAAAGAACTCAACTTTTTCTGATGTATGTTCATAAATAGCCCATCTGTCATTCTGTCACTTTTTTTAAAATGAAGTTTTGCTCCAGAAATTATTTTCATCTGATTCAATTTTTCCCCCAAAAAACGAATATTTCCTCAGGAAACGTTGTGCAGGAAATGTATAAAACTTGCCACCAGTGAAGACATTCAATTGGTATCAACAGCTGTTTCGGCGAAGAAGCTTTTTACTTTTAGAAGTGTTTGCGGGTATTTGCGCCGAGAGCAGGTATGCACATAAAATCCAATTGTAAAGTCGTAAATCATGCCGGATAGCAGAACTGTGACACCCAGACATTATATTCATTGAAATCTTTTTTCCAAGGTGTGAAGAAAAACAGAGAACAACGAAAGCAGGTGTGAAGAATCAGAAATTTGAAATTTTCTAATTCAATTCATATCCATGGTTTTCTCTGTCCTCCATGCTCATTGAATAACCCGTTTGGTGATAAGAGGTCTCATAACACTTTTTTATTTGAAGTGACTCATGTATTGTTCGTCCTTATTTTTGAAATTCACTGATCCGTCATTCTCCGTTTCATTGAGAACGATGAAATTGTTTCATATTTCAAAAAAAACACGGCCCTCTTCCCAGACGCTGTATTTTATTTCTTTCCATCCGTTCTTTTCGTAAATTTTTGAATGATCTATAATCAGGAACCCTATCTCGATAAGTAATCCCCCTTCCATCAAAAAAAATGGATTTTTCACCTTGAAAATAATACTGGTCCTACGAGTTTTATAGACATTGTTAGTTTTAATGTGGACGCGTCCTCTTCATGCACTTTTTTTTATTCCAGATGTTCATTTGTTTTATACTTAGAACGGGGAATTCGCATTTTCTCAAATCTGGCCAATTTTATTTGGAAATCAAGAATCGATTCAAAATATACCAGGAAAAATTTACAATTTCTATTTTTCATGGATACAATGCGGTTGCATATTTTCTTAAAAAAACACAAAGAGATTTCAGATTCACTTGTTGCTCTTTTGAAACAAACAAAAGTTGATATACTACGTATAAATTCATGTTTTTATTCAAAAATGTGTTCAGAGACTATTCGAATTTCTCCACAAACAATGATTCATGGTTATTGATCGAGTATCTGTTTGAATGTTTCGAAAGAGATATGCCATATCTGTGGGTAAAAACGTTTGACTCATACAGTTCGGTTATTGCGAATAGCTGTTCCATATTTTTTTCAGTCTTGTTTGTACCATTTTTCTAACTCGTTGATGATTTTTTTTTTTGAATAGGTGTCATCTACGGCCGCCCCATTTCTTTTGATGAACCGATCCGGTCATTTGTTTCGCAATACTAAAATGAGCAATAAATAATTCTTACAATACAAATCATCATTATCCGAAATTTCGAATTGGGTGATCCCTTCATACCAACTAATAAAATATATGGAATTCCCGATGTAGTTCGACAGATTCCTTAGTTTTTTTTTTTCAATTGACTTCATTTTCCTGATCATGAGCTTTGTCTTTGTACTGTTTCTTTCATCACGCAGATGTTTACTTCCTTCCTTTCCCATTTACTAGAAAACTATTATCGTCATATTTGTTTCTATTTTTCAATCTACAATCCTCATGCGATCCACCCACATAAAAACTATCATCTATCATTTCTAGTTGTATCCTTCATTCTGTTTCAAAATTCTCTGTCGAAATGGTACATAGGAAAATTAAATAGGAAAATTAAAATGTATCACTCGGTGTGCGAATACGTTTTTTATCGTAAATACTCTCTAACGACCACTTGTCGAGCTTTTCTCAACATTTATTCCACTTCATTTTTTATTCATGTACAAGCAATTTCACACTTCAAGAAGTCATTTTGTCTTATGTTTTCTGTGTTTTGAGAAAAAGAATACAAACGGATATGTATACGTTTGTTCTATTCGTGTTTTCAATAATTCTTCGGATAAAAAAAGTAGATTATTTGTTCCATTTATACTTCGACTCTGACCATAAAATTTTCATCATGTTTAGACAAGTATAAACATTCCCCATAGTCATTCATACCCTCTGAAAATTCTGTTTAAGACATTTAGTGAGAAAATATTTCAAAAAATGATTAGATCGTTCTTCATATCTGAATAATTTCGATATTTACAAATACAAAATTTAATAGTTCTTATAATCTAATGTTTTTGTTTGAAACAATTTTGAATAACACTTCAATTTAGTATTCACAAAATGTTTCACTGTAGTACAGTAATCCTGAAAACATGGTAGAAGACAAGCACATGTTTCTCATGCTTCTGAAGAAACCCTGAGAAACGTTTTCACACTGTTTTCTGTAACATTTTTTCTAGAATTGATCATTTTAATTTGCAAGGACTCAATTTTTCTACCTCGGACGGTCCTTTTTTCCTTATTGCTTTTTTCAATTGCTCAGTTTGGGAAAGCTTATTACGCCTGTCCAAATACTACAATAACATTTCCATGTACTACAATAACATTTTTAACACCCCATCTCTCTAATATTAATGAAGATTAACAACCCAAATGCTCCATGTGTCTCTTTCCGCCGGAATAACAACATCTGTGAACATGGTGTGCGCGAGACCTCCTCTTCTTTCTCGCTCCGCGCAGCATGCTCATTTAAACTAGAAGACCACACATACATACACACTTGGTTAGTCAATTTGGCCTTTCCCATTTCCTTTTTCTTTTTCTCATGGCCCCCACATCTAAAATTTCGTTCCTCTTCTTGTTAATCTATCTATCCAGCTGTTTAGTGACCTCGGAGCCCGAGAGCAAGATACCTTGATCATGGTTATTGTGTTCCCCTCTCTTTCTAGAAGGCTCATCTCCTCCTCAACTTATTTGCCTAACCCGGTCAAATGCTAATTTCCTGATAATGTTGTTAACTGTTATGTTCCTTGTGTAAGTAACACATCAACTATGTTGCGTCTTCCCTTAATGTTCAATTCGCTTATTTTTGCTGCCACTCGTGCTGACACCTCTGCCTCAAGGTCGATACCTGCATCCACCAAAACAAACATTTTTTCTTTGTTTCATTCAAGAACTTCTTTCCTAGCAAAATTTTTTTTTTCGTCAACATCTAACATAGATGGTAACAGTTTCCCAAAATTTTCTTCTTCTCAATCTCTTGGTCTTCTCGAATACTCTCAAGAACGTTCGCTATTTCTGAAAGACCAGAAGTCGCATGAGCGCGCAGCGAACGAAAAAAAGTTCACCTGTCACGACTTGTCTCAAGCTGCAATACCGCATGACCAGATCCAAAAATTTGTTTCTTCCAACGGGGACCACCTCCTACAGTTGCCACAGACAACATCGCCAGTTTCGGCTGTCTAAGACTTTTTTCTTTCTTTTCATTCAAACATAGCTCTCAAAAAAGGAGGCAGTTTTCAAATTTAGCGTTGAGAGAGAACAATGACGAGAAATAGAAGACATCGATCTACTAACAACTTGTTTATTCTGGCGAGCATTCTATCAAACCGTTTGCGCAAATGAGTCCATACCCTTATCCGTTATCAGAGGTTCGGTGTATTGTTGTAAATAGTTTTGATCCGTGAAGATGCGGGAAGAATGTTCCGAGCTTCTGTTTAGACCGAGTTTAGTTGATATACCGGAAAACCTTTATTAAAATGAACATCAAACTTTCTAGGTAGAACTGATTTTTCTCGGAACGTATGCAAGATGTCAATAACGAAACAACTGATGAAATGTTCGCAATATCAAAATGAATACTTCATCAGTTGAAACTTTTTCATATCTTTGACAGGACATATGACGAACTGGCTCAAAATTAAAAGTTAAGGGCTCCTCTATTATAGACCTTAGGGTTTAAAAATCTTGAATTTTGAGCTTTGGAAATTGTGATTTGTTGTTTTTTTATATGCGCTTTTTGTTTCGTTTTCAAATCTGAGATACCGTGCTCTTATTTTATGACACATAGTCATACATCACTCAAAAAATAAACTTGCATGCCAAAGTATTTTTTTTACAGTTATTAGTCATTAGAAGAAAAAAGGAAGAGATAGAAATTAACATAGTTATTATCGTCGTCTTCCTCCTTTTTCTGTTTTTTTTTCGGGTTAATTCTCCCATTCATATTGCACATCCCCTCTTTTCAAATATCAGCTGACATTAACCTCGAACAAACTCCATTTCCTTGTTTTGCCATTCTTCAGCTCTGCACTCCCATCCGCGTTTTTTTTGGACCCAACCAAATTCTGAAAAATGATGGATTTATTACCTTTTGGAACAACCATCAGTTAAGAACAGAAAAATAAAACAGAAGAAGAAAAAGAACGATAATTCTTTTTTTACTTTATGACAATCGCAGCCGGAAAGACAAATGGGTGGTCGTTAAAGGCTTGATAAAAAGTAAAGCGCAGTACACCCAAACCAACTGCCATCTTAATCTCTCCCAGCTTCTTTTTTTGGGAGTTATCCATCTTTTTTTGTCCCGCGTCTTCATTCTCCCCAACCCTCCCACTTTGCGTTCAAGGCTCTCAGTTTCTCGTTCCTTTGTTTTATTTTCTCTCTTCTTCAGATTCTTCAGCGCAATGGCTCAAATGATTCGTAGCTTCCGCATCATCTTATGGTGCATCTCGGCCCTTTCGATCTGTTTCTACATCACGGCTGCGTTGACCGAGAGTAAGGATACAAAAAACTGTCTGTAGTTCGGTCATGCTACAAATTTTAGGCTCCATCAACCATCGCATCATTCCACGCACTCAGTGCTTGACTTGCAACCCTCATCAAGATTTCCCATATCAGATCTTGAACCAGGTGAGAATCCAAGTAGAATCTAGTTGAAGACCCAAGAAATTTCCAGCTCTCCCAGATTTCATTCTTCACCAAAATCAACTTCGCTGTGGACATCTGCATCTTTGTGATCACCACTTTCAACTTGTAAGTTCTCGTTTTCTAGAATGAGTGTTCTATAAAACACATTATTCCAGGGTCAAAAGTGACCAGAGTGGCGCTGGTGACTTTCTAATTTCCATCGGAGTTTTCTGCAAGATCTACCTGATTCCATACGTTCTCTACAATTTCTTTTCCGGAGGTCAAAGCCCAGCTCACAATATCAACTACCTTCTCCACCATGAGATCTGCGGAACCCTTGGAAACTGTCTCAACGGAAACGTCGCCCGTATTTTGTTCAGCTGCATCTCGGTCACTCTCATTATGATTCTCGCCTTCCCTGCTCTCATCGCCTCCTGGGGAGTTATGTACATCATCTTCGTTCGTTACTTCGATCAGCCACTTCCAATGGTTACTGAATACGTCGACGACCTCCCAACCTACAGTGCCCTTTTCCCGGACATCGAGCATCCGCTGTTCATCAAGAAGGACGACGACTACTAAACTCTTCACGGAACCATGATACCGGCCTGCCATGATAATGATCCCGATTTGAAAATTTGTCCCTTTCTTATAATTTTTCCTGCTTTTCCAGTTAATGAAAATTGATTGCATCACTATATTGAAAAAATTAGAACTTTAAGTTGTTTCGATGGTAAGTTAAAAATTGTAATCTTTGAACGAAAGCGCAAAATGTCCGAAAAAAGAGAGAGAGAGAGAGAGAGAGAGAGAGAGAGAGAGAGAGAGAGAGAGAGAGAGTATCGTCAATTGTTTGAACGACCGGGTATCCAAAAAGAAGTTCGGCGCTAACTAGATGCAAGAAAGCAAATGGCGTTTCACGCCATTCCGCTTTCTCTAAAGATCAACTTCGAGATTCGGGTAAACTTCATCCGTGACGGTGAACCTGGTGTACTTTCGTTCATGGTTTCTTCAATGTTTGTAAAAGCTAACATTGTGTTTTAGTAGTTCAAACAGTTTTGGTGAGGTTCCTAAAAAATTTTTGAACATTTTAAAAATACAATCCCGTGAAAATATACAAGAATGTTCGAAATGGCTTTCTCGCTTGTTTTTGGAACATTGAGTATTTCCAGTTTCTAAGTTTTGGAGGTCCGAAATCCTGGAATATTCCGATTTTCAGAAGTACGGTATGTCGGAATGCTCAGAAATTTTGAAAATAACATTTTAAATCCCGATGTCCCACCACAAAAGGTTAAAAAATTCTGGAAAATTGATGAAAAAACTCTCATTCCGAAAAAATAACATCGGAAAAATTTCGAAATATTCAAATATTTAGAATTTCGCATTCCGTTTCGGTCATTCCTGAAAATTTTTTACCGATAAATTTGTTTTATTTTGAAACCTGTAAGATTCATGTGAGCGAGACAAATTCTCCATGTAAATTTTTTTTTGTAAAATTCCTTGCAAATGATGTCACCGGATTCATTCCAGATTTTTATGCTAAAATTCTATTCCAAACTATACCTTTAACTCATTTCTAATCACGTTTTGCCTCATAAAAATTTTCTAGGAAATCAACACTCGTGATATGCTTTTGGTTTTTTTACCGTCATAAATTTCTTAGTTTCGTGTCGAAACTGAAAACCGCATGACTTAGAGCAAAACATTTCTGATTAATGTTTCCCAAAAATTTCCATGAAATCCTGTATATGTACAAATGTTTATCTTACAAAGGAACCTCAATACCAGATTTTGATAAAGGTTTTAGGATAGTTTAAGAATAGCATATCTAGACGGTTCTAAAAATTTTTAGAATCCGCTCACCAGTTTCAGTCGGGTTATATCATTTTCGGTACCAAAAATTAAGTTTTCAAAACAATATAAACTAATGATTTGCAGAGATTTTATCAACTCCTAGAACATTTTCGAATATAAAAGTTGGTCTTTAAAACTTTGAATTCATTAAAATTTATATTTCAGATATTTCTGACATTTTCTCAAAAAAATTTCTCCTTCAAATTTTCGAATTTTTACTCCATTTTTTAATTGAATTCTAATCCTGATACAACAAGTTTCATGTCCTGAAATGTTGTAGAAATTGAGAAAACAGCGTTCCGAAACTTGCATAACTCGGCTGAAACTGGGGACGGTATTCTAAAATTTTTTAAAGAGTCAAGCCAGGATTTTCTTAATTTCTAAATCTCGAAATTACTATCTAAGTTTGGGTTTACACCGTGTTGATGTTTCCTTACTAGTTTTTGAACACCACATTTGCCCTTCCCTATCTAGGAATCAGTTTGTGCAAAAAAATGCGCAAACCAAGAACCCTAGGCTTGGGCGATTTATGAACACCCCCATATCATTTCCATCTCGAATACCACGGCATTTTTTCCGATCCATGGTTATTTATCCTACTCCCCGCCTCCCTTCATTCTTTCATTCCATTTTCCTATTCGTTTCTGTTGTTTCTCTACATTTAATCCATCTTCACTGTCTCGCCGCCACCCGTATGCACCGATATCTTTCTCATTCTGTCCTATCTTACTCCGCCCATTTTTTTTTTCATTTTCGCCGTTTGTTCGTGTGTGCTCCGAAACACGTCCGACATTGTCTTATGTCTCTCTTCAGTCAGAATAGAGAGCCAAATGTATCCGATTATCTCGAGTAGTGTAACCTCGTTCTCGGTACCAACGACACCACATAAGAGGAAATAAAATAGAACATCGTTTTCAGTTTCTTCTTACTTTTTTCGTTTTTCCAATCTCGATGAGTGCATTGTCCTTAGGCTCTACTTTTTTCTTGTTGGGGCAATAAAATTTGCGGAGAAAACGGGTAGTTCAGATTTTTTCTCCTCTCTTTTTATGACCCCCAATGAAAAATTAAATAACATCTTTTTCACTAGCAGTTCTGAAGCTCCCTCTCACCCAACCTCACTTTTTCAGAAGTTTCTGTAAAGTTCTTTTTCATTCGTCACGATGGCGGCGAGACCTATGGTAAGAAAACACTGTAGCACTTCCAAATTAAGAATTCAATTTAGATGGCCCCCCGTCATCAGACTGTTCAAAGGAACGTTCTGAGAAAGCTCAATGATGGTCTCAAACGGTATTCGGTTAACTTGCTCATTTTGGCTACAACTCTCTCTGCTTTGTTCTTCAGCTGGAGTGCAATGGAGATCGAAGGTAGGTGAGATAAAACTGTAGACGATGTCAAAGTCAACTTAGTTTTTGGGGAACATAGGGGAAATTGGGGAACATAGGCTATTTGTATTCAATTACTATGCCAAAATAAGAAAGAATAGAATAAATTATGAGCAAAATAAGGGGAATAATCCTTAATATTTTAAGATTCTCATTTTATTTAGACACCTCAGAAATACGCTAAGTGTAAGTCTTTTCCGAACTTGTATCAAAAATATGCGTTAATGTTCATAAAACGTTATTGAACAGTTCTTCAGATTTCTAAATTACTTTATTATGGTTTAGAACTACCGTAAACACTATAACTGAAGGTCTCCCAAATCTTCAAATTTGAGGTCACATTTCTCATTTTCTGTAGAGAATATCAAGAAACGGTCAACTAATAATATTTTTATCATGACATAACCAATATTTTATCAGTTGACTACTTTTGATATTATTCACAGGAACTGAGAATCACTATTTGCTCTAATCCAAACCCATCCAAACTGTCAACATTGACCTTAATTATCTGACAAAATTTAATTGACAAAATTTTGATACTTCTTTAAAAAAAAGCGAGATAAAGAAGATCTAATTTGGCAGTTTGGATGGGCTTCTAATAGAGGGGATACGGTAAGTTGGCGCAAAGTATAAACTTATCAGGGTGTTAACGATAGATAAAAAACAAGTAAACCAAAGAATCTTGAAAGAGCTCTGAAACTGAAAAAGGGATCTAAATCGACCCCTGAAAACCGTTTAGAAAAAATAAGGGAGCTTTAAAAAATATAACCTAGAAAAAAGAACCCTCCGCTATTAAAGCTAGATAAAACTGTTGTAAGATAAAAAGCTATTAAAGGAGGGTAGACATCAAAAATTTCAAAATTTTCATTTTTACTCAAAAGATATAACTCTGAAGTATAAATATAGCTGTGTACTTAAAAACCTGAAAAAAACACTTCAAGGACGAAAAAATGCTCTTTTTTGTCACCCTAATTTCTTCACTAGCTTGCTGCTGCGGCGTCGCTTCATAATGTGAAAAACGCGATGGTCGCCTCTTACACGCGTAGTATAGTGGGTACGCTCTAGGCTAGTATCAGGAGGTCAGAGGTTCAATCCCTGCTGGTGTTTTTACTTTTTTCTTCCCTTGTTTCCTTCGGATTGAACTTTTTGAACTCGGAATTTCTGAAGGGCTACCAGCGTGCCGCCGAGGCCTCGCTCCGAGGTATCAAAATCAGTTGAAAATGAAGAAACGTGTTTCATTATGTTAACAAATAAATTATGAAAAAAACTACAATTAATTTTTAGAAAGAGACATAACAATTGAAAGAAAAACCACATAATTAAAACAATCCTCGTGCAGGGCTGGTCGTCGGAAGGTGAAGGAAGCAGTAAAAATGGAGACGTCTCTGAAAACCCTAGTCATAAAACAGTTTTTATTCCTAGAGTAATAACGAGAAGTAATGAGATAAATAGGAACAGTGAAGAAACGGTTATCGAAGAGAAAATAGTTTTTTTCGCATGCCTATAAAAAACACCGGCGACTGGCAAAATAATCGGTCGATAGAACTTTAAATTTACATAAAAAATTCACTTTTATATGGGTTTTATAATAAATAAGAAAAAATAGCTTTTTTAATGTTTGAAGTCGTTAAAAATTGAAAAAAATAAAGTCGGGAAATAAAAAAATAAAAATGTTTGCGCGTGGGATTGCGCGCTTTAGGTGCTAACACCGCGACGGCAAAATACACATTCCCTGAAATTTTCCCCGAAATTTTTGCTGTCTGCCCTCCTTTAAGATAAAAAGCAGAAAAAATATTCAGCAAACTCGATTTTAGTCTTCCAAATTTTACTGGGTGTAGCAACTTATAATTTCTGATGTTTCAACACCCGTTTTTTATTTTCCCATTTAGTTTCATCGTTGATCTACTACACCACTCTTCATTTAACGTGTTCCGTTCAGTCTCAACCACTATATTTTCAGCCAGTGCTAATCGAAACTACGACAACACACCAAAATCTTGAACCTCGGTCACTTGTTTCCTTTCGAGCCCACGCAACGAGAACATGAATGGAGAGATGTGCGAGAAAATCATTACGGTAACAAAAAACGTGCTTTGTTTCTCATATCCTATTCCAGATATTTGTAGGGTATAATCCATCGAACCGTTGTCTACTATGGCGTCCGTGTTGATTGTATTCTCAGCTCTCCTCTCATTCTGATTTCGATATGGTTCATGTGAGTACATGGTTCATACTATAATTTTTGTTTCTTTGTTTTCCCACAATTTTGGTCGTTCATATAATTTTTTTCAGTTGGCAAGAGTCATTCGGGAACCAAGTTTTGAAAATCGCGTTTCTCTGTGCCGCATTCAAATTCATAGCCATCCTTTCGGTGTTGTTGTGCATTTTGATGGATGACCCTAGTAAGTGAAAAAACAAAAAGGGCGTGTGTTGACGATTTTTCGAAAATGGAAAAATCTAAAATCATCTCGAAAAAATATGAATAGTCTTTTTCCAGGCTTCATGCGCGAGATTTTCGAAAAGTCCCATTTTGGAACCTATGAAGCTCGAATCCTCTACTCCTTCGTGTTTGTTATAACTGCCACACTTTTCAACGCGAGTCTTCTCTTCGCTCTCGGAACTGCTTACACTCTCAAAGATACCGCAGCCACCAAGTATCGTGTTGGACCATCGCAATCCACTGCTAAATTGGCCTACAATGCAATGGTTGGCAGTGTTTTAAGCGCAGTTGCCAAAGGCAGAAATTCGGAAAGTGGTTCGTCGATCGAAGTCTTCCCAATTGGAGATTTGGATGACGTCTCTGTTCGATCGAACCCTGTCTAAAAATCATGATCCTGTTTTGTATGTGTTCCTGGTTCGAGCCCCTGTTAAAACTTCTACATTCTTTCCTATCTCACCATTGCAAAATTATCACTCCTGCAACTTTTTTTCCAACATTTGACATTTCTCCCATCATTTGACATTTATCCCAACAAATGACAATTCTTTGTCTCACCGACAACTTTTGTATTCACTGACGATTCTTCTAACATCTGACAAACCCAGTGAACTTTTACACTCCTCCTAGCTTTTTCTGAAACATAAAAAAATCCCATTTCCTCTTTGTTGCATCAGACTTCTAGAACTTTCCGTTCTTCCCTGTAGAAGTGTTGTAATAAATAAACCTTGTTAACAAAATTCAATTATATTTTCTTTTTCAGGACCTGCAATAATAGCTTTAAACAAGTTAAACTTTGAATAATCAAATTCGAAAATTCAAATTCTTCAAGTCTTATGTAATATTCATCGGATTATGTTCACTCCACTATACAAACTACAAACCTTTGTTTAAATTTTTTCGGAATTAATCAGTTTTAAAAATACATGATGAGGAAAATAGAACTACAGAAATTTGAAGAGAATAAATTACAGTAAAATATTAAAATGGTCACAGATGAATTGGGAAGTTTATAGATTTAATGAGAATTCAAAAAAGATTTCGAGTTAAAAAAAATGAAGTGCGATAATCTGCTTAAAATAAACGTGTGGACACAAAGAATAAAAAATTGCGGAATCGAAAATACATATAACAAAAATTTCTGTCTCTCCTCAAGATTTCAAATTTCTTCTTGAACGCAATCCGCAAAAATACAGAAGAATCGGCTTTTAGCTTTCATTTGTCCAGTGGTGAATAAGATTTTTCCACCACGAATATTAATGAACGCTCTGTAAAAGTATCAAGTGTAATGCATTGATAGAAAAATAGTTTAACTCACCTTCCGTTTAGATCTTCTTCGCTTCTTGCGTATATATCATCAAATAAGATATCACGTAACCAGTCTTCGACATAATATATCTCCAGCCGTTTTCCGGTTTCCCACCCGTTTCGCTTACGATGCTCGATCCATTGGTTTATATGATTCATCCTCAACTTAGCATTGTTCGCATATATGCCTATGACTGGATTCGGAAACTTCAACAAGTACTACATTATATTACTGGAATCCTTCATCTTGACTGGTTTAATTATCAATCTTTGGGCAGATTGGATTATTGGGTGGTTGAGTTCTTCAGACATGTAAGGGAGGGGGGCAATTTCCAATTTCTTGAACGGGAGACTGGATTCAGTTAAAACTGGTTTCAGAGCTGCATACACTGAAGCAAAATGAGAGGTCGCATTCCAATTATTGTCATGAAAAAAAAACTCCAGGTGGCAGTCGTGCATCAGTCGACAAATTATTCACAATTATGGGATGTTTTCTGCCCTCGAAGAAACAGGTGTTGAGGTACTTCACCATATGAAACAGCGGTTTGTCGTATTCGAATCGATGTACAGTTTGCCCAGTAGAGTTTCGGATAGTGAACTTTGCAAATGTTTCGTATGGTAGTGGAGTATTGTTTCCTAAATATTCAAAAGCGGCAAAAGAAATGTTAATTATGTTTGTCTTCTTATGAAACTCTTTTTGGCTGATTACTTGTATTTGCAGTTACAGTGTGCGACGGCCTAGATCCCATTCGAGATCTTTTTTCTTCTCGTTGTTTCTATCATAAGCGTCTTGTCGTCTATATTTTTTAAGGTTTCGTTTGAAAGGGTTCAAAAAAAGATCGCCCGGCAACAAATACATACCAGGCGTTCGCACAGGAAATCCATCTTTGCCGACATCGCGATATTCATCATCCCATTCTAAATGGCTTCTACTTTCGTGCGCCTCTCTGTGTAGCCCAATCTGGTAGCGAGTGTTGTCGACGTTGACTTTGTTAAGGCCAAATTTCAGGTTATTGATTTGTAGTGGGGGTCGCTGTTTCCGCTTGGCGCAATGATGGACATCGACGGGCCAATTCGAATCTAAAAATACCAAAAGTCTTAGTTGGGTCTTTTAAAACAAAATAAGTAGTTGAAGCTTCCTACCTTTTGTTTGGCTCCATATATTCAATCACCGTTTTCATCATTTCAAATAGCATTGATTTACTTTTTGTTTCAGGAGGCTGAAAAGATAACTTACAAAAATATACAACTAGAAAAACTGGAAGAAAAAAAAATTAAAACTGGAAAGTCCTCAACTGACTGTGTTTGGGGCAACATGACCAATTTGGCTACTTGGATTTGTGTAGTTGTCGACTCGTCTTTCTGTTTTTTTTTTTTGCAAGTTATTTAATTTTTGAAAAAGAAAAATGAGCAGCACAAAATTCGCAGGAAGCCGATGGAAATAGTCCTGAAAACTGAGAAATTAGAAATAGAAGACGTGAAAGTGGGCAGCCAATAGTACGAGATGCGTTTTAAACAAGGCTACAGAGCTGTTTTTCAAAGATTATATGCACGCCAAAATACCCGAAAAAGGTGTAGAATAAAAGTGTGTTTTATAATCCGGTGCCCGCTTTTATGAACATCCACGCGCTCCGAAGATAAAATCTATTTATTTCTCATGTGCACTCCAAATTATAGTGTGAGAGCGAGATCTCACTGAATGGTATTCTCAGTTTGGTCGTTATGGAATTTCCACGTGGTCCGAGACAAAGTAATGATCACACGGTGTTGTGTTCGGTGATCACAAAGGTTCAGAGCAGTTTGGAACTTTCAAAAAATGGATGGTTTTCTCCGTCTTTCAAAATTTATATGAACTACGAAAACAATCGAGACTTTATCTCCTCGTTTTTCTGAAACACTTTTATTAATTAATTTATTTATTTCAACGAAGGGGAGAAAACCACTAACACGTGAAATGTCTATGAAACTAGGAGATATAACAGGGACATACATTTGTATTAAATATTAAGAATTTCGATCAAAAACACTTTCATTACTAACCAAAAAAAAACACTATAAAGAAATTAGACAGGGCACAAAAACTTGTAGCCACAAGATCGCAGGTGGAAACTCATGGCAACAATAAAAACCCTCAAAAACAACGTGGGAAATAAGTCTGGAAGAAAGTCTGTGAGCGGGGAAAAGCTGGAGAGAGAAAGGAGGAAGGAGATTAAAGGGCATGGGCGTAGAATGAGAATAATCTACCAAGATTTAGAAAAGACTCCCTAACTTTGGGCCCATTTTTTTGGTTTTTGTGAAATATAAAAAAGAAATGATCAACAGGTGAAAAGTGAAAGATAACAACTATTTTATAAGTTGATAATTTTTCAGATATGTTTCACAGAAACTTTGATAAACTCGATCAAAATTAATTAATCCCTTCTTGAAGTACAGGTGGGACGGTTATGTTCGAAGTAGAGTGAAAACAGAAAAGACAGAAAAAGAGATAATGAATATCAGAGTTATAAAAATGTGGAAATATATTCAAAGTTAAGATGATGCGTGAAAAATTACTGCGAAACAGAAAACTTTGAGGATCAATGAAAAATAAAAAGATACATCTTCACAGTTTTTTCCACAGAGCAGTTAATTCAAAAAATGCAACTTAAGAATCTAATGAAATCAATGATAAAACTCATGAGACATTTTGTTCGCCAGGAATTGCTCAGTGTGAATCTCGTCGTATCTGCGAACAATGAATCCTCCGAGAAACAGAACATTGACAGCCATGAAGAATGTGACGATTGCAGAAAAGAAGAGAAGAACAAATGCTACAACGATGTTGGAGGTTTCATCCTCCATGCAAAAATCTGGAGTACAGGTCTGGGTCAAAACGGAGTGGACTGCATTGAAATAGTAAGCTGGAAAATTTAGCTGGTTCTCAGATCTGTATATTTTTGCATTCACCATTATCAACCAAGATCAAGATCAAAGCGATGCTGATGAATAGCGCCTTGACAACTCCAGTGACTAGAAATCCGATCAAGCATTGACTGTTGAAAATTTTGAAGGACCTGAAAAATCAATTGAAATAATTAATGACACACGTTTTCTCACTTGAGAATGACCAAGGAGACAAACAGAACGATTGTAATCAAGAGATCCACACGGACACTGACTTCGATGACACGAGAAACAGCGTTTGACTAAAAAACATTAATTCTCATTTGTTTTGTTCAGTCAAATAACTTACCGAATAGATGGTTCGGCAGTCTCTGACATTGGAGAGCATACAGATAGATGGGTTCTCCGGAGTTCCAGTGATGGCATTTTCTGAAAATCATTTCTTTTATTTCCGAGAAAGAACTAGAAACTCACTATCGATGAGGATTGAAAGAGTGGTGCACATGATAATGGTGGTTGTGAAGAAGGTCATCATCATTAAAAAGCGTTTCTCCTCGGCAAGAAGAATCATATCATGACGGCGATTCCAGGTTCGGGGAAAAGGATGATTCTCAAATTATTCATTTTGAACTTTATTTGAGCAAATTTGCATTTCTCGGCTTACCGGTGGGGTCAGTTTGACCTGCTTGTAAGAGCGATGCTTTGGAGGAATGTTGATTGCTCTCCGAGTATACTTTGGAGGTATGGTTGACAGCATGATTGCAGTGATTACCCTGTGGTATTTTATTTACTGCAAAATAGTGATTAATCGCTTGAAATTTTGGCAACAAACACTACACTGCTCCACATAGTGAAACAGCCACCCCTTAAATTTCAAGAAACAGAGTTATCCGGAATCTTCGAAAACTCATTTTCATAGTGTAGAAACTTTGCCAAAAATGACAATTATGGGTCCTATAGAGAAATTTGACTTATGCTGAGTAATCGAGAAATTTTGATTTTTGTGGTTTTTAGCTTTTTATTTTTCCACATAATGATACGGCCACCCCCATTTTTGTGTCCTTTTCCAATTTTTTTTATCGATTGACATGTTTAATAATTGAATATGGGTATTTCAGGGAATTTTACAGCAATGGGGCTGAAAACCCCAATTGCTGGTTACGAAAGCAGTCAAATTGGCGCCAGTTGGGCTCAATGCCTGTTGCTCCGTCAGATCTCAAAAGTTGTCATCAGCCGGTATGCGTTCACTTTATCCAGTTACAACACATAAAAGTCCCTAGGTCATTGACCACCTCTTACGGACCGCGAATAATGGATAATCATACAGAAATCTATGAAATCAACGACCAATTGTTCAAAAACTCGAAGCCAGTTGAACTTGAAA